ATATATATATATATATATATATATATATATATATATATATATATATATATATATATATATATATATATATATATATATATATATATATATATATATATATATATATATATATATATATATATATATATATATATATATATATATATATATATATATATATAGTGCTAGAGCTTAAACTTTATCGCGCAAAAACAACATAGCTGCTCTGCGTCAGTTAAATCAGTTGACTGTTGAAATTCAAAAATTTTATCCAACTGGTTGAGTTAAAATATAAATAACCAAATAAAGGTGACAAATATCCAAACTGGTTGAGTATTAATAAATAACATAAAGGTTAAAAATAACCCAACAAAGCACCAAATATGTTTAACTCAATCATTGGTTTAAATAAATAACTCAACATTTTTAGTAAGTTTATATCTGTCTGTCTGTCTCTATCTATTGGCGTAAAGGAATAAGATCGCCGTTTTAAACGCATAGCCTGCATAAATATTTAGTAGGGAATATGTAAGCTGTGGATCCTCTCAGTTTCGCTTTCTCAAAAACGGAAAGCGGAGGCGTTGTAGCCCCACAGATTGTTTCTGTTGTTGTTTTGGATAGCGAAATAAAGATATCTTCCCTTATTGTCATTGTTGAACAGAAAGACAGTCGAACACCAAACTAAATGTCTGTCATCTCTGAAATCTTGCCACTTTAGACCTGACACGGAGCTTTTCTGTAGCCGCCTCTTGATCTGAAACCGGACTCTGAGGAAGGATGTGTTTTGTCTGTCAAATGTTTCCTCCCTCAACCTCAGCACTTTTCCTTTCTGCTTCTCTTTAATTCCTTCCCACTAAACTTTTCTCATGTTTATTAACAGGAGCCAAAATGTTTGAGGCGAAATTGAGTCGTTATTTTCTTTATTTCGGAAACTTACATTAGTTTGTCCAGCGCTCGAAGCCGTCACGCTTTCACAGACTCTGTACCTGCGCGAGCGGACGCGAAGCTCTCTGTGCGCATGCGCCAGTTTGGATTGGTTTAACCTTTGAAAGATTATTTTATTAAACGAAGACTAATAAAACAGCCTGGTGACAGGGATCGTTCTCTTTCTCAAAAATGGGACTTTTTGCAGCTATACACCCCAGTTTCTATTTAAACATGAGATTTAAATACTGCATTTTAGAGACATTTAAGCACTATTTTAGCTGGATTGTCGGATGGTCATCATAACCACACATGGCAAAAATATTTCCAAAAGATTTAGAATAAAAAATATGTATAATACTTATTTTTAAAACACAAATTTATTACATCATTTATCATTAGAAAAAAACAGGAATCTGTTGAAGTTTTAAACTAAAAACTGTAGCCTATTTTCATTCATTAGGCAAATAACAAACTGGTCATTTAACTTTCCTCAGTCAGAATTTGGCCATTTAAATGATTAAAAATACATACATATTAATAATTTAGAGTTTCACGATTTTTTCAAGCCTCTAGAAGAAGTGCATTTAATTATTCAATAACCAAATTAGCATTCAAATGAAATTTAATATGGGCCGCTTTTGGTCCTTCACAGCTTTTTATTGGTCATTTCTCAGAATAAGATTACTTGTAAAATGTTTTCTCTATTCAAAAGCAATAAGGTAGCAAATGACGACTTCTCTTATATCAGTTTGTACAACTCTTGCACAGTTGGATGTTGAAAAATAATTCTTAGCATTGACCAAAACTGATTAGCTGAAGTCACACCAAACCGACACTCTTAAAGCCTTTTTCAAAGCCTTTTTCAATCTTTTCACAATTTGTAATGGCATAGCAGTCAAAATAGGACAAATGAGCATATTTTTTGGACAAATTCTGGACCTTTGTCAGTGATAGGTGGGTCTTCCAAACCTGGCTACAGGCCTGAACTGTTGTTTAAAATAATTTTTATTCAATCATTCATTGTGTTTTCGGCTTAGTCCTTTTATTAATCAGGGGTCGTCACAGCAGAATGAACCGCCAACTTATTCAACACTGGGAAAGTTAATGGACCTGAGTCCATTGAACTTATATTATGTTTAACTGACTTAAAATCTCTTGCATAACATATCAAATTAAGTTAGAACATGATTAACTCTTTATTAAGTTACAATGGCCTAAAAACATGTGCTGTCAGGACTAATCAATCATAGCATTTTTTACCGTGTACTTAAGAGTACGACAACTTTATTATACAGAAAAACACACGTGTATTACCGTAGTAAAAACTAAAGTGCACTACAGTACTCATTACAGTAAATCAGTTCACTATAATGCATAGTTATTACCAAAGTGTGGTACAATTGTATAATATATACAGTATAATACACTATAGTGTGGTTCAACAAATGCTATATTTACTGAATTACAACAGTATTTTTTTCACGTGGGCTTTCTTTATAGACTTTCTATGGAAGCCCATTCCCGCCACTGAAAAAAAATAAATTACAAATAAATACAATGTAAAAAATTTCAATTAGAATTGCGAGTTTGTTAGGTCAAAATTGCAAGCTATAAAGTCAGAATTGCGAGTTAATAAGTCAGAATTGTGAGTTATTAAGTCAGAATTGCGAGTTATTATTTCAGAATTGCGAGTTATTAAGTCAGAATTGTGAGTTATTAAGTCAGAATTGCGAGTTTTTCAGTCAGAATTACAGGTTATAAAGTCAGAATTGCCAGTTATAAAGTCAGAATTACAGGTTATAAAGTCAGAATTGTGAGTTATTAAGTCAGAATTGCGAGTTTTTCAGTCATAATTACAGGTTATAAAGTCAGAATTGCCAGTTATAAAGTCAGAATTACAGGTTATAAAGTCAGAATTGTGAGTTATTAAGTCAGAATTACAGGTTATAAAGTCAGAATTGTGAGTTATTAAGTCATAATTACAGGTTATAAAGTCAGAATTGCGAGTTTTTCAGTCATAATTACAGGTTATAAAGTCAGAATTGCGAGTTTTTCAGTCATAATTACAGGTTATAAAGTCAGAATTGCGAGTTTTTCAGTCATAATTACAGGTTATAAAGTCAGAATTGCGAGTTATTAAGTCAGAATTACTGATTAGCTAGTCAGAATTCAGCTAATCAGTTCAGCTAATCAGAATTACAGGTTATAAAGTCAGAATTGGCAGTTATAAAGTCAGAATTGTGAGTTATTAAGTCAGAATTGCGAGTTATTAAGTCAGAATTACAAGTTATAAAGTCAGAACTACGAGTTATAAAGTCAGAAATGTGAGTTATTAAGTCAGAATTGCGAGTTATAAAGTCAGAACTACGAGTTATAAAGTCAGAATTGCGAGTTATTAAGTCAGAATTACGAGTTATTAAGTCAGAACTACGAGTTGTAAAGTCAGAATTGCGAGTTATTAAATCAGAATTACAGATTATAAAGTCAGAACTGCGAGTCATAAAGTCAGAACTGCGAGTTATTAAGTCAGAATTGCGAGTTATTAAGTCAGAATTACAGATTATAAAGTCAGAACTGCGAGTCATAAAGTCAGAATTGCGAGTTATGAAGTCAGAATTGCGAGTTATTAAGTCAGAATTGCGAGTTATTAAGTCAGAATTGCGAGTTATAAAGTCAGAATTGCGAGTTATAAAGTCAGAATTGCGAGTTAATATTTCAGAATTGCGAGTTATTAAGTCAGAATTACAAGTTATAAAGTCAGAATTGCGAGTTATAAAGTCAGAATTACAGATTACAAAGTCAGAACAGCAAGTTTTAAAGTCAGAATTGCCAGTTAAAAAGTCAGAATTACAGGTTATAAAGTCAGAACTGCGAGTCATAAAGTCAGAACTACGAGTTATTAAGTCAGAATTGTGGAAAACAGTGTGTACATGCGCGCCCTCTATAGGCCGCCTGCAGCTCTGCATCCTCACAGTTTTACTTTTTCAAAACCGAAACCAGGAATCACCTTTTTTTCCCCCACGGGACACACACAGGAAAAGCCGCTAACTTAACACTTACTTGTTCCTAAAATGGCGGAGGCCAGTATTTCAGTGGCTCAGGACCAGTTTAGCTGTCCAGTTTGCCTGGATCTCCTGAAGGATCCAGTGACCATTCCCTGTGGCCACAGTTACTGTATGCGCTGTATCACAGACTGCTGGAACCAGGAGGATCTGACGGGTGTTTACAGCTGCCCTCAGTGCAGACAGACCTTCACACCAAGACCTGCTCTATCCAAAAATGTGGTGTTTGCTGACATGCTGGAGAAGCTGAAGCAGACTGAGGTGTCTGCTCAGTGCTTTGCTGGACCTGGTGATGTCGAGTGCGACGTTTGCACTGGAAGAAAAAGGAAAGCTATGAAGTCCTGTTTAGTGTGTCTCAGCTCTTACTGTCCGGGTCACCTCCAACAACATGAGACTTTTTTTAAAGGGAAGAAGCAGCACAAGTTGATGGATGCCACTAGACGACTACAGGAGGCCATGTGCCGTAAACATGATAAACATTTGGACATCTACTGTCGAACTGACCAGCAGTGCATTTGTTATTTGTGTGTGATTGAGAAGCATAAAAACCATGACACAGTAACAGCCGCAGAGGAGAGGACGGAGAAACAGGTATGGGGCTTTTATTTTTAATATTATTTACATATAATTTAATATATAATTTACTTGCTTACTCATATTTCATATCAGCGCTGTTATACAGTAACAATAATAATTAAACAAATATTGAAATTAATATATTAAGTAATTCGAGTAGTTTCTGATTTATCGGTATCAGCCGATAAATGCTAATATGAAATTAATAATGACAATAATGTATTTAGATTTTGGGTGAAACTTTATATATGAAGCCATTTTAGTGATGCACAACTAACTGACAGCCATATCAGTATCGGCCGATAATACTTATCAGCCCGACAAGGAAATAGTAATACATTTAAATTTAAAATATTAGGACATTTTAGAGGTGAAATTTAGATTTTCTTAAACGTATTTTTTAACCTATTTTTAAACCTATTATTTAACTTATTGAAAAAAAAATCATTTATCCACTATTATTTGTTTGCGATATATCGGTTATCTGCACATAAATATAGTTATTACTATCAGTTGCTTATTTCTGGGCCTATATATCCATTATTGGCTTATAAAAATTTTTTTAGTATCAGCCATTTATTTATTTGGTCTATATATCGGTTATCAGCTTATAAATATAAAGAATTTTCAGTATCTGCCGTTTATTTATTGGCCTATGTATTTCGGTTATCAACTCATTAATATAAAGAGTTATCAGTATCAGTCATTTATTTATTGGTTTATATGTTGGTTTTAAGTTTAAAGAGTTGTCAGTATCTGCCGTTTATTTATTGAACTATATTTCGATTATCGGCTTATAAGTATAAGGATTTAACAGTATAAGTCATTTATTTATTGGCTTATATATCGGTTATTAGCTTATAAATATAAAGAGTTATCAGTATCAGCCATTTATTTATTGGCTTGTATATTAGTTATCGGCTTGTTTATATAAACGGTTAGCAGTATTGGTTATTTATTTACTGGCTTATATATCGGTTATTGGCTTATAAAGAGTTGTCAGTATCGGCCATTCATTTATTGGGTTATATATCAGTTATCGGCTTCTAAATATAAAGAGTTATCAGTATCAGCCATTTTTTTATTGGTTTATTTGTCGGTTATCACCTTGTAAAGGGTTATCCGTATTGGCCATTTATTTTTGGGCTTATATATACAAAGAGTTATCAGTATCAGCCATTTATTTATAGCCTATATATCGGTTATTGGCTTGTACATCTAAAGAGTTAGCAGTATTGGCCATTTATTTATTGGCTAATCGGTTATCGGCTTATACATATAAATAGTTAGCTGTATCAGCCATTTATTTATTGGTTTACATCTCGGTTATCAGCTTATAAAGTTATTAGTATCTGTGATTTATATCTTTATGAAATATACTCTTTATGAAATATAAATAGTTAGCAGAATTGGTCATTTATTTATTAGTTTATATATCGGTTATTGGCTTATAAAGAGTTAGCAATATCAACCATTTATTTCTTGGCCTTTATATCGGTTATTGGCTTATAAGATAAACAGTTATCAATATCGACCATTTATTTATTGGAATATATATCGGTTATAAATATTTAGAGTTGTCAGTATCGGCCATTTATTTATTGGCTTATATATCGGTTATCAACTCATTATATAAAGAGTTTTCAGAATCGGCCATTTATTTATTGGCCTCTCTCTTTCTCTCTCTCTCTCTCCCTCTCTCTCTCTCTCTCTCTCTCTCTCTCTCTCTCTATATATATATATATATATATATATATATATATATATATATATATATATATATATATATATATATATATATATATATAGATAGATAGATAGATAGATAGATAGATAGATAGATAAATAAATATCAGTTTCAAACTCATAAATATAAAGAGTTTGCATTATTAGCCATTTATTTGTTTGTATATCGGCTTATAATGAGTTATCAGTATCGGCCATTTATTTGTTGGCTTATATATCGGTTATCGGCTTATACATATAAAGAGTTACCAGTATCAGTCAGTTATTTATTGCTTTATATATATATATATATATATATATATATATATATATATATATATATATATATATATATATATATATATATGAAATATAATAAGTTATCAGTATTGGCCATTTATTTATTGGTCTATATTTTGGTTATAAATATTTAGAGTTAGCAGTATCGTCCATTTATTTATTGGCTTATATATCGGTTATGGGCTTAAAAATATGAAGAGTTATTAGTATTGGCCTTATATTTATTTGTCTATATTTTGGTTAAAAATATTTAGTGTTAGTAGTATCAGCCATTTATTTATTGGTATATATATATATATATATATATATATATATATATATATATATATATATCGGTTTTTGGCTTATAAAGAGTTATCAGTGTCGGCCAATTATTTGCTGGCTTATATATCAGTTATTGGCTTATACATAAAAAGAGTTAGCAGTATCAGCCATTTATTTATTGGTTTATATTTCAGTTATTGGCTTTTAAAGAGTTATCAGTATCGCCTATTTATTTATTGGCCTATATATCGGTTATCGGCTTATACATATAAAGAGTTACCAGTATCAGTCTGTTATTTATTGCCATACATACATACATATATATATATATATATATATATATATATATATATATATATATATATATATATCCGTTTTAAACCCATAAATATAAAAAGTTATCAGTCTCAACCATTTATTTATTGGACAATATATCATTATATCGGTTATTAACTTTTAAGTATAAAGGGTTATCAGTATCGGCCATTTATTTTATTGGCCTTCATATAATGGCTATAGACTTATAAATATAAAGAGTTTTCAGTATCAGACATTTATTTATTGGCCTATATATCAGTTATTGGCTATTTATTACTTGAATTATTTGTTTTGCCCTACAGGAACAGCTGAGTAAGAAACAGAAAGACTTACTAAGGAGAATCCAGCAAAAAGTCCAAGAGATTCAGAAGCTGAGAGAGACTATCGAGTCACACAAGGTGAGGTGAAAGGATAACATCTTGAAAAAATTTGACATTTTAAGATTTTAATTGCTATAATCAGATCCCTGGTTCATCTGCTAACCCAGAACGCTTGAAAAAGACTAACTGTGTAGACCTTTTTTTCTGCATGCATGAGGAAAATCACACCATTATTCCAACCATACTAATACTGTAGTTAAAAACTTGAATTAATCTGTAGTGGTAATTCTATGGTATGTTATTATGGTAACTCAACAAATATATACATAAGAGATTTCTCTCTTTTGAAATAAGAGTTATAAAAACTAAGGAAGAAAAGCATACTTTGCAGTGTAGGCAGATGTGAAGAGCTGCTGCTGCAACTGATGTCAGGATTGTGTTTTATCACAGCTCTCAGCACAGACAGCGGTGGAGGACAGTGGCAAGATCTTCACTGAGCTGATCCTCTACATTGAGAGAAGACGCTCAGAGTTCACACAGCTGATCAGAGGTCAGGAAAAGGCTGCCGTGAGTCGAGCTGAAGGACTGCTGAAGCGTCTGGAGCAGGAGGTTGATGAAATGAAAAGGAGAGACTCTGAGATGAAGCAGCTTTTACAAACAGACGATCACATATACTTCCTGCAGGTAGCTTCTCTTAAAGGAACACTCCATTTTTTTGGAATTAAGCTCATTTTATAACTCCCCTAGAACCATTTTTGATTTGGCTTATAAATATAAAGAGTTATCGGTATTGTCATTTATTTATTGGTCTATATATCTGTTATCGGCTTATAAATATACATAGTTATCAGTGACAGCCATTTATTTATTGGTGTATATATCGGTTATCAGCTTATAAATATAAAGAGTTATCGGTATTGTCATTTATTTATTGGTGTATATATATATCGGTTATTGGCTTATGAATATAACAAGTTATTGGCAATGTCAGTTATTTATTGGTCTATATATCGGTTATCGGCTTATAAATATAAAGAGTTATCGGGAATGTCATTTATTTATTGGTCTATATATTGGTTATCGGCTCATAAATATATAGAGTTATCGGTATTGTCATTTATTTATTGGTGTATATATAGGATATTGGCTTATAAATATAAAGAGTTATCGGTATTGTAATTTATTTATTAGTCTATATATTGCTTATCGGCCTATAAATATAAAGAGTAATCGACATTGTCATTTATTTATTGGTGTAAATATAGGTTATCGGCTTATAAATATAAAAAGTTATTGGCATTGTCAGTTATTTATTGGTCTATATATTGGTTATCGGCTTATAAATATATAGAGTTATCGGTATTGTCATTGATTTATTGGTGTATATATAGTTTATTGGCTTAGAAATATAAAAAGTTATTGGCATTGTCAGTTATTTATTGGTTTATATATTGGTTATCGGCTTGTAAATATAAAGAGTTATCGGTATTGTAATTTATTTATTAGTCTATATATTGCTTATCGGCTTATAAATATAAAAAGTAATCGACATTGTCATTTATTTATTGGTGTAAATATAGGTTATCGGCTTTTAAATATAAAAAGTTATTGGCATTGTCAGTTATTTATTGGTCTATATATTGGTTATCGGCTTATAAATATAAAGAGTTATCTGTATTGTCATTTATTTATTAGTGTATATATCGGTTATCGGCTTATAAAGCAATATGAGTATCAGCCATTTATTTATTAGTCCATTTATCGGTTATCGGCTTATAAATATAAAGAGTTATCGGTATTGTCAATTATTTATTGGTCTATATATTGGTTATCGGCTTATAAATATAAAGAGTAATCAACATTGTCATTTATTTATTGGTGTAAATATCGGTTATCGGCTTATAAATATAAAGAGTTATCGGTATTATGATTTATTTATTGGTGTATATAAGGGTTATTGGCTTAAAAAGCAATATGAGTATCAGCCATTTATTTATTGGTCTATATATCGGTTATCGGCTTATAAATATAAAGAGTTATCGACATTGTCATTCATTTATTGGTGTATCAGTTAATGACTTATAAAGCGATATGAGTATAGGCCATTTTTTTATTGGTCTGTTTATCGGTTATCGGCTTATAAATATAAAGAGTTATCGGTATTGTTGTTTATTTATTGGTCTATATATCGGTTATCTGCTTATACATTTCAAATTTTAGGCCCTCTTTAATTGGATGTACTTCACAATATGGGAAAAAAGGTCAATTTGACTTCTGTTTCATGCTGACTTTAGGAGTGTATGATTAAAAACTAGGGAGCCACAGTGGCTCAGTGGTTAGCACTGTGGCCTCAGGTGGCTGGTTCAAGTCCCAGCTGGGCCAGTGGGTGTTTCCCAGTACTGGGTTGCTGCCGGAAGAGCATCCGCTGCATACAACTAAGAATAAATTAATGTTTAAAAATTAGCCTGGCCTATCTGCTGTTGAAAATGAAGCTCAGAATCAATTTCATACAGAAATGTGTAAATCTAAGAATCGATCCATGAATTACAATACATTAAGTTATTGTCCCAGCCCTATTATGATTGTATTGTATTGCCTTTGTAGAGTTTCCGATGTTTGTCTGCTTCTCCTGAAGCTACAGATGTACCCAACACTCTCTGCTCTGCTTTCACTTTTGAGGATGTGACAAAATCTTTGTCTCTGCTGAAAGAGAAACTCAAGGATTCCTGCGACCAGGAGATGGAAATGGTGTCTGGTGAAGGTAGTGCCTCCCTGTGCTTGATCATTATTTATATTCAAATATTAGACCGAATCCTTTAACAGCGATAATATGGTGACTCTTTGAATCTGTTTGGCAACCCCAGTGACATACATCCAGATCATTCCCACCCCAGACCCCAAGACCAGAGAGGACTTCTTACAGTGTAAGTGCACAAACACTTTTCTTTCTACTGAGAGTAAATCAACAGCTGTTTAAAGCAGATTTCCTCACCGCCCCTGTGACAGGAGTTTTGTGCTATACCAACACTGGGTCCTTCTAAATACATGCGATTTATTGCTGATTTGATTCGTTTAATAAACAGCACGCAATAATAGGAAACGTTTTTGCTCTAACCAACATCTGAGATTTATATTTTAGAAACGGCGTCTATTTCTTGCAGCTGAACAACAGAAAACGGACAATGATCCGCTTAGGTACACCTCATGTGCTTTATTCTGTGCTAAATGCTAATAATCTGAGTATGAATGCCATTTGACATGACATTTATTGCCGTACTACTGAAAACAGCAGCAGATAGTTCACCTCTAGAACTGTGACTTAGTGCAAGCCAAAACATATCAGTGATTCAATAATGTTAAAGAGGTTTAATATGTATTAAGTAGATTATAAACCTTACCGTTTCGCTGGAGTGCAGTGAGCGCACTATTCTGTGCTTCTAAATGGCTGTAATTACATTTCTGACGTGTTTCGTCAGGTGCTAATTGCTCATCACCACAAATCTCATCATGTAGCATGTTGTCAGGACACAGGATTACAATGTGACCTGCTCACCTAATGTATACGCTCGTAATATTTATATTATGTGCTAATTAAAAACCACCTCATGTGGAACTCTGAATCTGCGTCTCATTTCGGAGTCTGCTACTGTCCACCGGAGGTCGCATTTCGCTCACGGACGCATACTCTGAGAGCTTTTCTGACCGAATGAATTAAAAACACTGTTTTCCACCAAGGCAACCCGAGCTGCTGAAATATAATTGGCTAAACTGAACAAAGACAGATGTCCTGACACGTAACGCACATGTTCAAAGCGGAATATCTGACTTCAGCATTGTTTTTCAGATAAACAAGAACGTAGCGTGTTTCTGAAATGTCTGCAGACATATTATGTTGTTTTTATGCTTCAGAAGAGTCATACAGCACCTTTAAAGTTCGTGTGAAGCAGAAGTTACTGAGACTTTTATATTAGTATGTTGATGTATTTCCTACTGAAGCTTAATACCTTAATACCTACTGAACCTTGAGGCGGATGGGCTACAGCAGCAGAAGACCACACTGGGTGCCACTCCTCTCAGCTAAGAACAGGCAACTGAGGCAACAGTTCACACAGGCTTACAAAAATTGGACGAGAGAAGACTGGAGAAACGTTGCCTGCTCTGATGAGTCTCCATTTCTGATGCCACATTCGAATGCTTGGGTCAGAATTTGGCGTCAACAACATGAAAGCATGGATCCAGCCTGCCTGTATCAGCGGTTCAGGCTGGTGGTGGGGGTGTAATGGTGTTGGGGATATATTCTTGGCACACTTTGGGCCCAGTAGTACCAAATGAGTGTATGTAACGCACCTTAACAAAAATTAAATATGAAACAAATATTTTGATTTCCTCCAGATTCCCGCCAGCTCACTCTGGATCCAAACACAGCGAACAAACGCCTTCGCCTGTCTGAAGGAAACAAACAGGCCTTCGACAGCGGCTCAGTCCAGCCGTATCCCGATCATCCAGACAGATTTGATCAGCACCTTCAGCTGCTGAGCAGAGAGAGTGTGTGCGGACGCTGCTACTGGGAGCTGGACTGGAGCGGCAGTGGCGGACTCGCCGTTTCAGTGGCGTACAAGAGCATCAGGAGGAAGGGAGAAGGTGATGAGTGCGTGTTTGGGTTCAATCGCCAGTCCTGGAGCTTGTTCTACCGTCTCTCCGGGTCCTTATTTTTTCACGATAAGAAACAGATTAAACTTCACGCACCTCTCAGCTGCTGTAGATTAGGAGTGTATGTGGATCACAGAGCAGGAACTCTGTCTTTCTACAGCGTGTCTGACACATCAATGAGCCTCATCCACACCGAACAGACCACATTCACTCAGCCGCTCTATCCTGGGTTTTTACTTGCTTTCGGATCGACTATAAAGCTGCTGTGAAAAGAAGAGTACAAAATAATACACTTTTAAATCTGATATGTCAGACATACTTAAAAACAGTCCAGCCAAACTGAAGAAAAAGACATCATAGGAAATACTTCCTTACTCGTTTTAAATCGCTTGAATATTTTTGAAAAATAATTGTAAAACATTTATTGGAGGGTCGATTATTTTGCCTTAGATGTACATGTTTGGGATGAGCAAAATGTATTTCTTTTTTTTTTCTACAAAGATCAAATAAAATTTCTTCAAAACTGTTATTTAGACCATTATTTTTGATGATGTTTAATTAGCTACAAATTTTGTGTTTAAGACATCTAATAGATGTCTAGCATGGACATCTTGGCTATGCGATGTTAAATTTGCACTGTCTGTGAAAATCTAATAGACGTCTAAGAATAGCCCTAATCTAGACTAGTCATCAAATAGACTGATCAGGCAGACTTCATATGTGTACCTGGCAAGCGTCTTGTTTTTTAAATGACGTCAAATAGATGTCTAATAGACGTCTAATAGACGTCTAAACATAGACGGCTTGGTTAATACTAGGCTAAATTTGGGCTATCACTACTAGACTAGTCATGAAATAGACAGATCAGACAGACTTCATATGTGTACCCGGCAAGCGTCTTGTTTTTTAAATGACGTCAAATAGATGTGTAATAGACGTCTAAACATAGACGGCTTGGTTAAAACTAGGCTAAATTTGGGCTATCACTGAAAATCTAATAGACGTCTAAGAATAGCCCAAAACTAGACTAGTCCTCAAATAGACCGATCAGACAGACTTCATATGTTACCTGGCAAGCGTCTTGTTTTTTAAATGACGTCAAATAGATGTCTAATAGACGTCTAATAGACGTCTAAACATAGACGGCTTGTTTAAAACTAGGCTAAATTTGGGCTATCACTACTAGACTAGTCATGAAATAGACAGATCAGACAGACTTCATATGTGTACCTGGCAAGCATCTTGTTTTTTAAATGACGTCAAATAGATATCTTATAGACATCTAAACTTAGACGGCTTGGTTAATACTAGACTAAATTTGGGCTATCACTACTAGACTAGTCATGAAATAGACAGATCAGACAGACTTCATATGTGTACCCGGCAAGCGTTTTTGTTTTTTAAATGATGTCAAATAGATGTCTAAAAGACGTCTAAACATAGACGGCTTGCTTAAAACAAGGCTAAATTTGGGCTTTCACTAAAAATCTAATAGACGTCTAAGAATAGCCCAAAACTAGACTAGTCATAAAATAGACAGATCAGACAGACTTCATATGTGTACCTGGCAAGCATCTTGTTTTTTAAATGACGTCAAATAGATATCTTATAGACATCTAAACATAGACGGCTTGGTTAATACTAGACTAAATTTGGGCTATCACTACTAGACTAGTCATGAAATAGACAGATCAGACAGACTTCATATGTGTACCCGGCAAGCGTCTTGTTTTTTAAATGATGTCAAATAGATGTCTAATAGACGTCTAAACATAGACGGCTTGGTTAAAACTAGGCTAAATTTATGCTATCACTACTAGACTAGTCATGAAATAGACAGATCAGGCAGACTTCATATGTGTACACGGCAAGCGTTTTTGTTTTTTAAATGATGTCAAATAGATGTCTAATAGACGTCTATACATAGACAGCTTGGTTAAAACTAGGCTAAATCTGGGCTATCACTAAAAATCTAATAGACGTCTAAGAATAGCCCAAAACTAGACTAGTCATGAAATAGAAAGATCAGACAGACTTCATATGTGTACTTGGCAAGCATTTTTGATTTTTAAATGACATCAAATAGATGTCTAATAGACATCTAAACATAGACGGCTTGGTTAATACTAGGCTAAATTTGGGCTATCACTACTAGACTAGTCATGAAATAGACAGATCAGACAGACTTCATATGTTACCTGGCAAGCGTCTTGTTTTTTAAATGACGTCAAATAGATGTCTAATAGACGTCTATACATAGACGGCTTGGTTAATACTAGGCTAAATTTGGGCTATCACTACTAGACTAGTCATGAAATAGACAGATCAGGCAGACTTCATATGTGTACACGGCAAGCGTTTTTGTTTTTTAAATGATGTCAAATAGATGTCTAATAGACGTCTATACATAGATGGCTTGGTTAAAACAAGGCTAAATTTGGGCTATCACTGAAAATCTAATAGACGTCTAAGAATAGTCCAAAACTAGACTAGTCATCAAATAGACCGATTAGACAGACTTCATATGTGTACCCGGCAAGCGTTTTTGTTTTTTAAATGACATCAAATAGATGTCTAATAGATGTCTAAACATAGACGGCTTGGTTAATACTAGGCTAAATTTGGGCTATCACTAAAAATCTAATAGACGTCTAAGAATAGCCCTATACTAGACTAGTCATCAAATAGACAGATCAGACAGACTTCATATGTGTACCTGGCAAGCGTTTTTGTTTTTTAAATGACGTCAAATAGATGTGTAATAGACGTCTAAGAATAGCCCTAAACTAGACTAGTCCTCAAATAGACAGATCAGACAGACTTCATAAGTGTACCCGGCAAGCGTTTTTGTTTTTTAAATGACGTCAAATAGATGTCTAATAGACGTCTATACACAGACGGCTTGGTTAAAACTAGGTTAAATTTGGGCTATCACTGAAAATCTAATAGACGTCTAAGAATAGCCCAAAACTAGACTAGTCTTGAAATAGACAGATCAGACAGACATCATATGTGTACCCGGCAAGCGTTTTTGTTTTTAAGTGATGTCAAATAGATGTCTAATAGACGTCTAAACATAGACGTTCCTTAAATTTAAATTTCTGAATTTTGTGGTATACTTCTGTAATTTAGCCGCCGTTATTTTACGTTTTTTTTCTGGCCCCCCAGCTGCCGGAAATAAATCGTAAATTTACAGATTTTTTTGGTGTATTGTTACTAGTTTAACAAACTGTTAACATCATCTAAAATTAGTTTGACAAACATCTGCATACTGGAATGGAGGTTAGTCGTGTTTACTTTTCTTTTCTTGGCCAAAAGCATGGTCTCACTTCATTAGTGCTGTGTAAGCATCATCCATTTTACATAGAAATGAAAATAAATCGAAACTAATGAGTTTGTAGCATGTTTTATGATATGCTGTAAAAAAAAAATTTAACGTTCATTGGTTTACCATGTATACGTATACATTACATGAAACATTACATTGTAAATAAATAAATCCGTAATTTTACGCTGATGTGCCGGAAAAAAGTAAAATAACAGCAGTTAAATTACAGAAATTTATCGGAATATAACAGAGGTTAAATTACAGAAATTTAAATTTGAGTACATTTCTGTAAATTAATATCTGTTATTTTACAGTAACTTTCTGTAATTTAATGTCCATTATTTTATGGTAAATTTCTATAACTTAATATCCGTTATTTTACAGTAAATTTCTGTAATTTAATGTCCATTATTTTGCGGTAAATTTCTGTAATTTAATGTTCATGATTTTACAGTATATTTCTGTAATTTAATGGCCATTATTTTACAGTAAATTTCTGTAATTTAATGTCCGTTATTATACAGTAAATTTCTAAAATTTAATTTCTGTATTTTATGGTAAATTTCTGTAATATCTGTTATTTAACAGTAAATTTCAATAATGTAATGGCCATTATTTTATGGTAAATTTCTGTAATTTAATGTCCGTTATTATACAGTAAATTTCAATAATTTAATGTCCGTTATTTTATGGTAAATTTCTGTAATTTAATGTCCGTTATTTTACAGTAAATTTCTGTAATTTAATGTCCATTATTTTACAGTAAATTTCTGTAATTTAATGTCCATTATTTTACTGTAAATTTCTGTAATTTAATTTACATTATTTTACAGTAAATTTCTGTAATTTAATGTCCATTATTATACAGTAAATTTTAATTAATTTAATGTCCGTTATTTTATGGTAAATTTCTGTAATTTAATGTCTGTTATTTTACAGTACATTTCTGTAGTTTAATTTACATTATTTTACAGTAAATTTCTGTAATTTAATGTCCATTATTTTACAGTAAATTTCTGTAATTTAATGTACATTATTTTACAGTAAATTTCTGTAATTTAATGTCCATTATTTTACGGTAAATGTTTGTAATTTAATGTTCATGATTTTACAGTATATTTCTGCAATTTATTGGCCGTTATTTTACAGTAAATTTCTGTAATTTAATGTCCGTTATTATACAGTAAATTTCTATAATTTAATATCCGTTATTTTATGGTAAATTTCTGTAATTTAATGGCCGTTATTTCATGGTAAATTTCTGTAATTTAATGTCCATTATTATACAGTAAATTTCAATAATTTAATGTCCGTTATTTTATGGTAAATTTCTGTAATTTAATGTTCGTGATTTTACAGAAAATTTCTATAATTTAATATCCGTTATTTTATGGTAAATTTCTGTAATTTAATGGCCGTTTTTTTATGGTAAATTTCTGTAATTTAATGTCCATTATTATACAGTAAATTTCAATGATTTAATGTCCGTTATTTTATTGTAAATTTCTGTAATTTAATGTTCGTTAATATACAGTAAATTTCAATAATTTAATGTCCATTATTTTACGTTATTTTTCACCCCAGCTGCCGGAAATATCCAAAAAATTAGATTTTTTTTACAATGTAGGTCATAAAAATCTACTTGAAAGTCCTGGAAAAGTCATGGAATTTTTCTAGCAAAAATGTGTATGAACCCTGAATGAACAACTGTATTTTCATTAACTAACACAAATACTGTAATAAATGTATTGCTCATTGTTTGATCATGTTAGTAAATACATTAACTACCAGTTACTTATACAATCTTATTGTAAAGTGTTACCAACTTAATTGATTTGTGTCGGGACAACAAGAATGAATTGTGTGGAACCCTGTGATGCACTGTAATGCATAATGCCTAAAAATCCTAATAATATTCAAATGAAAGGCCGTGGTTATGCAAGGGTTTGACATTCATATGAAACATTTTGCACGTCATTCTGCTGTAAATTGGGATGTACTTTAATTTCTTAGAAATGTTTTGACGGGTCGTGTTGATGAATATGGGTACTGAGCTGCAGGGTTGCCAGATCTTCTCACTAAAACCAGTCCTTTGGCCAATCGAAACGAACCCAAAGATATACCATTAGACGCATATTTTAATGATAATCACTATAGAAACAATCACGAATGCAGATGGTTTCCATAAAGGAGCTACAATCGCTGGTAGAATATGAGCTGGGTGAGTAAAACTGCAAGCATTTCGGCCAAGAATTGAGGCAATTTGGCAACCTCATGCTGTGGTGAAGTGTGGCGTGTGGATACCAGTCATCAAAAGAGCTCTCTTGATCGCTCACTTAAAATGCATTTTCATGCTTTTTCATGTCACATTAAGACACACAAAGCAGGCACCTACATGAGTGCTTTACAGGCAGATTTGCGACTGTAAATCCTTCTCAAATGCTAAGATTTAAAGGGGGCCTATTATTCTGAACTGACTTTTATGGGTTTGGACAGTCTGGGAATATAACCAGTCTCTAATGCTAAAAAACGTATTTATTTTCATCTTTATAATCACACTTGATAAATAGAAGTGTCTGTGAAACACTTAGATGGAGATTCTCAATTTGTACGTGTCATCAGAGGGGGAAAGCCCCGCCCACTAGTGACCATCTCTCCCTCATTAGCATAGTTTGTTGGTGTTCCACAGTAAAGCCTGGTTTATACTTGACATGTTCGCTTGAGTGCGCGTGGCGAATGTGACGTCATCGCTGTGTACGCGGAGGTTCGCTTTGGGTGTACGCAAGATGATTTCGGCTGGCGGAGCGCACAATTTTTTTTTTTTACTCGAGGGAACAATTCGTTTGACGCCACATTTTATTTGAGCTAACTATGAAACACTTTAAAGAGATTTTATCAGACATCTTTACGATCCGCCCATGCGTGATCAAATTTATAACCTGATGACCGCTACTTCTTGTCCAGAAACGGCAACAGCCGTGAAATTTTTTATTTAAAACAATTTACTAGTTACAAAACTATAATTAAGGAACGAATAATTTTCTTGATAACTGGAAAGGAGTATTTAAACCTGTCGGTTTGCAATTTGCTGATGCCCTGTTTTTAGGCTTTATTTATGGTGGTCTGGAACGTTAGACTATTATCGCCTTTTAGCATATTAGTAGAGGACTAACTAGCCAGACAGTAATGTGTGAATTGTGGAGCGGGCTAAATAAACAGACCAAACTAAATAAAATAAAAACATCTGTTTTTTAGTGAGTGTACTTGTTTGCTTGTATTCTTGCCATAATAAAAATATATATTTGTAGAGCAACTCATGTTCTGTTGTCATTAATATTTTAATAAACTTTAATAGGTAGAACCGTCCGAGATACGAACAAAAGCAAGTGATGCTTTGATTTAAAAAAATCTTGAATGGTTATGAAAACGCTTATAATTATTAAAATAGTTTATAAAAATAGTTAAAAATCGTCAATAATATTAGTGATGTGATGTAGTTCCGGAAACTTCCTACTTCTCTGTTTATTCGTCTGATTTTACGGTCAGTTTCTATAGACCGCCCTCTGTCGTTTTAACGAATATCACAACGGCGAACGCATCAAGTATAAAAGTCTTCGCCATTTCGTGACTTGTGTGCGCCGACAGCGGAGGTCCGCGACACCAGGCGAAAGTATAAATCATGCTTGAGGCGTTACTGTATTTTAATTACATTTCTGGGGAACGCAGTGATATAACGAAGTACATTTTAAATGTGTGTAATTGAATACTGTTACTAAAGTCAGCGTAATTGTGTTACCTACATTACTAATATAGTTTTTCGAAGAAAAAAATGCTTCTTTTAAGTCACGTTTTCCAACTGCTGGACTTCCAGCTTCCTTTTAAACTGCTGGAGAACGCCGGCTGAAATGGCTGCTGATGAAAAAATACAGACATGACTTTGATTTCATTGAGCGTTAAAACAAAGATATGCAGTCTGTGTCCAGTTTCTAAAGAACTTTCCACTGCCTTAACTCGACCAGCTTTTGAATAGGAAGCATTCTACGACAAAACTCGTCACCAAGGAGGACACCGGCGCACAAAAACAAGGTGGCACAACTCAGTCTAAACAGACTAAATTGGATTTTTGTGAGCGGCAGTGAAGGTATCTTCTGAATGTGAAGAGAAAAGTAGCCGCACATGAGGCCGTTCCAGCCTGATCTCATGAGAAAACGCGAGTATTTTACGTTTTGTGCAGTGGCTAATTCATACGAATTCCAATTCAGTCGTATGAAAATGTACGATTTTAAAAAGGAGACCCAACCCCACCCCTAAACCCAACCGTCATTGGATGTTAAGCAAATCGTACTAAACTGTACGAATCAAATCATATGAATTCAGACGAATTAGCCACTAAATCAAAAACTTAAAAATAGCCGTGAGATTGCATTGGCCGTTCACACATCGCATCTTTTTTTACATGCAAGTTCGTTATTTCTAAAAGAGAGCTTGCGTGTACATATTGGGAGCGCGTATTGTGCGCGTTCGCGTTTTCCAGGTGCACGCAGTTGAAAACTACGAGTCACACAACAAGAGCCGACCAATCAGCTTCATGCTTTGTATGGAATATACACATTTCGGTAGACTAATTACCTCAGACAAACGGAGAACACCCAAACACTGGATACTATGGATGTCAAGGGTTACAGGTGTCCAGTTTTCTTCTAAATGTCTTGTTTTGTGTTCAAAAACCAAAAGACAAACAGGTTTAAATTAAGAATTAAGTTTTGGGAGAACTCTTTAACTCTCTTAAATCCATCGTAATGTTTTCCAGCGAATAATAAATTACTAAGAGCTTTTTTATATGTATATTTCAGGTGTTTTAAAAGTAACTTCAGATTACAATTTTCCACTAGTAATCAGTAATTTGTAATCTATTACCTTTTAGAAGTAACTTACCCAACATTGCACATCAGCATAGACAGCCCTGAGTGAGAAGCAACCGTGCGTTAATTTTGAAAAGAGAGCTAGGAGCACAATCTCATCTGAATTTAAAGCGACAGGTCATCATAATGACACAATTAGAATTAAAGAGTCACTTTCAAAAAGTTATAAAACAATATTTGTGTGGTATTTCGAGCTGAAACTTCTCATACACACTCGTTTGTGTCTGTCGCACATTTACATTGCGTAAAAAAAGAGCATTATGGCTCCCCTTTTTAAACGGAAATGTGGCTAATTTGATCACCAAAGTGACATTTATTTCTATAACATTATTTACGATACAGATTGTTTCAGATATAGAAACACATTTCAGCTCTAGTGTGAAGCAGAACTAGTGTTGTTACACAGCCGTCAGATCAGATTATGCTCGGTGTGCAAGTCTCTGACATGTATTATCACTGTTATGGTGGAAACAAATTACAAAGAGAGCCAAATTGCATTTTCCGCAGGACAAATCCCTTTATACGGAATATATTTATGTATGTTATGTTATATTTCTGCCTTTTAAATTTCAGCTGTTTCTAACTTTTGCACTTTTTAAAAATAATTAAAAAAAAATTGGTAGAGAAATAAACTGCATATTACATCAGCGACTAAATTGTTGGACAATTTTTATTCCTGAACTTAAATCATTCTTAAATCTCAATTTCCGATGCTCTTAAGGTCAGTCCTTCCTCACAAAAACGAACAAATTTCTTAGAACTGTTTTTATCGGGTCATTTTGATGAATATGGTCATTGAGCTGCAGGGTTGCCAGATCTGCGCATCAAAACCAATCCTTTGGCCAGCCGAAAATAAATTAAATAAAAAAACTGAAACTCAAGATATGCCTTATTTTAATGCTAATCAAATATAGAAACAATCGTGAACTGTTTTTTATTTCATAACTGGAGCTCTCTTGTGTTAACGCTGCCGTATACATTGCTAAAGTTTGGCTGGCAGAGAGTACAACTTCAAGCGTTTTGGTCTAAATAATTCTTCTTCAATACACCAATGGTCACTGCTTCGAAAGAAGCTCAATGGTAGGATTGGCAACCTTATGCTGTGGCGAATTCTGTGGAAATCGGTCATCAAAAGAGCTCTCTTGACGGCATGTGATCTCTCTCCTAACATGAATTATCATGCTTTTTGACTGCACAGACTGACATTAGGAGACACAAATCACACATTTCCTCTGTTCGGGTAAGCCAATGCTTTGCTTGTTCGATTAATTCCTTTTTATCATGACTTGCAGGTTATAAAACATGTTCTTCGCTCAGCTTCGGACTCGTTTAACGTTTAAACGGCTTGCTATTTCATTTGTTTTTCGCGCAAGATTAGCGCTGATTAAGAGAGAGGTCGATCCTGTTGTGGTTTAGTGGAGGTTGTCACTGTGTTCATGTAATATCTTTGTGTAGACGTCTAAAATGACCTTTCAAATTCTAGAAACTACTTGAAAAACGAACGTTTTCTAGAAAAACTACTTGAAAAACAGACGTTTTCTAGTTACGTTAGCACATCGATGAAATCTAACGTGTTCATTCTGAAAACAGATATTTAGCACACTGATTTATTTATCGACAACCTAAACATTCACTTTGGAGTCAAAAACCAATGGCTGACAGTGCGTTTTCGATATTTTCAAATGTAGAGTCGTCCTCTAAAGATGGTTGTACGATATACTAACTTCTGACCTTCTTGAGGAGGATGACTTGGTCAGCTTTCCTCTGTAAACACATTCAGCTAGCATGCTTCTGTGAGCCAAATTTGTATATTAAGTTCAACTAAATTTCGTTTATTAGTTATATTCATTAACGTATTGAAGTTTTCAGTGTTTCGAGGGATAATGAGCGGACTCTGACTTGCAGGCTTCTCTGATGGACTGCCAAGCCTGCGGTTTTACCGTGGAATTGGCCTACTTTGATCTGTGTCTGTGATGGGTTATTTAATCTCCGTGTTGAAGTTCTGACATAGCGCATATATTATATTGTGGCGCTACAATATTATAATCGAATGTTTACACTCTCAGAAATAAAGCTACGCGATCTGTCAATGGGGTGGATCCTTTTCGAAAGGTCCAAATTTGTACCTAAAAGGTCTATATTAATACCTCAAGGGTACATATTAGTACCTAAAAAGTACAAAAGAGTTACTCTTAAAATTTTTAGGTACTAATTTTGAGGTATTAATATGGACTCTTCGAGTACAAATGAGTACCTTTTGAAAAGGTACCACCCTAGTGACAGCTCGGGCAGCTTTATTACTGAGAGTGTACTCTACCAATGGAAGAAAACTTCTAGGGTGATTAAACTAAAATAGGTGTTTGCATCAACACATTGCGTCAAAGTAAAGCTAAGTTAGACTCATATTGTGTATTTTAATGAACACATGTGCTTGCACATGGAAATTAAATAGTAAAGTAAGCACAATCTTTCATGATCATCCATTTGTCTACTTAAAGTTGAGCCAGGGTTGCCAGGTCTTCACAACAAAAGTAACCTAATTGCCAATCAAAAAAACTCAAAATATGCCTTTCCCATATATAAACATTTGAGTTTGTATTTCTTATCTGACTTTTTATTGCATTATGGACATGGTAAACATTCAGTTAAATTTCATGAATAAATTATCTTAACCAAAGTCCAACCAAATCCTTCAGCTGGTTGTGGCGATGCTAAATTAATTTAAAAGTCTTTAACTTTATTTTCCACCTCTGTGTTCATTAAACATCTTTTCTGTTTAACAATCACTTTGTCTTGGAAATTATAATGATTAAACGAAATGTACTGTTTAAGTTAGTATTTAGCAACAGCAACTGTATAAAGTTGAAGTCAGAATTACTCGCCCCCCTTTGATTTTTTTTTTTGTTTTCTTTTTTAAATATTTCTAAAATGATGTTTAATAGAGCAAGGAAATTTCCACAGGATGTCCGATAATATTTTTCCTTCTGGAGAAAGTCTTGTTTGTTTTATTTCGGCTAGAATAAAAGCAGATTTTAATTTATTGAAAGCAATTTTAAGGTCAAAATTACACCATTTTTTGTTGGGTTCCAGGACATGTCTGGCTTTCAGCAAATGAGCGAGCTGAAAGATGCTTTGAAGCATGTGGTAAACAAATCCATCAGAGATGAGACGTTATCGACGTTTACATTTTAAATAAGTGACAAGAGAAGTGGGATGCATTGGAAAATAATAAATTAGGTGACATACAACCTGAAATCTCAAACAGAGTTTTAAGACTCGATTTGATCAAGTGATTTTTGCCAGATGTCGTATTTGACATACAAGATTAACTCACGCCTTTTTACTTAAAGATGAAGACCCCGCTCAGTGTTTGTGCTGCACAACTCCCCTTACTGTAAAAGACATTTTACTGGACGGTCCTGCTTTTAACGATTCCAGAAGACTTTTTTTATGAAATGAACTCTCTTAAGGAAATTTTTAGCAAAGTGACTTCATAAAATGTTTTGAAATTCTTATCATGTATTAACACTGAAATCGTATTTAACTTGTGTATTAATTTGTTTGTTGTTCTTAATTGTATTATTGAAAAATTCTTGCCATAAAAATAGCCTTGGTTGCTGACATGGCAATAAATTTAAAATACATAACATTACAGTACATTAAGGTCAATACTATTAGCCCCTTTAAGCTGTATATTTTTTCGATAGTCTTCAGAACAAACCATCTTTATACAATAACTTGCCTAATTACCCAAACCTGCCTAGTTTAAGATTATTTTGCTTACCCCAGTGGCAGATTATTTAGCTTGTTTTAAGGAAAATATGACTTATATTGGCATAGTATTTCTAAAAACAAGACTGCTTTCCTAAAAAAAAAGTCTCTTGATTTAAGAGTTTTTAAATATCTGGAAAAGAAAGAAGACAAAAAAATCTAAATAAGAGTGTGCCTTTGAGGTGCCAGTGTAAAAAATGAATATGTAACATTTATTTTAATAAACATAAAAAATCTAAAAGTGCAATGTAGCTGCCACCTATGTGAACAGTTGGTTCCTTCAGTCATTCTCCTCAGAAGATATTTAGCTTTAAAATGTGATAAATTTTGCGTTTTAAGCCACTCGGAAATGGCAAATAGCAGATTTGACTATTAGTTATTAAAAAATTCAAAATGTGTTCATTATAGTTATTTATGACCACTACACGACGACTTTTGCACGACGACGACATTCTCCTCAGAAAGTGTAACTTTAGAGACAGTCCCTACCTTTGCAAGTGTCGATGTCCAACGTTAGTCTAGCCAACTTTCTGTCAGTCTTTTTATAGTGGAAATGTTACTAATTTGATCTCTAAAAGTCACTTTATTTCTATAAAACTTTTTCAGAGAGTTGCAAAACTCAACTCATTTTAATGTTGGCGCTAGCAAGCCAGTGTCAGTAAAGCTCGGGTAAGGTTTATTTATTTTAGTGATGTTACGTTCGGCGTATGTCTTGTCACTGTTGTTTATATTACATTGACTTTTTCAGGATAAATCCCTCTACAGGCCTGCGATGACTTTAATATCTGTGATCTCCCTACAGTGCAACCCGTAGGTGGCGCTATTCACTTTGTTTTGTCAAAGAAAAGGAACTGAAGCTCCTGATTGACGGCTTGCCATCCAGTAGCCTACATGAAGCGGAAGGTTTCCACCAATCACGGTAAATCACAGGCTGTGTTCTCCGCAAATCACTGCGCGTCCTCCGTGTGTACATTATCCTCATTGGGTCTGGCGCTGTTCAGCTGAGTTGACCAGGAAGAAGTCCGTCTCTCAGTTCGCTGTGTGTGTGTGTGTTTACAATTTCTAAACTGCCAAGCGTGACTGAATTTAAGAAGACACATGGAGCTGTGTTTGTCCCGGGATTATTTCAGGTGTTGTTTATTGTTTTATATATACTGTAAAATACTTTCATTCACAATAACGTCAAGTTAACCATAATTTCCTACTATTACTGTATATTCCCAAATTAATAATTGAGGTAAAGTTGTTTTTATAGTCGCACATTCGTTCATTTAACTGGCTCTATATTGTTTAACACGCAATTTTTAATATATTCAGTCAGAATTAGCATGCTAGTATGACTTCAAAACAACACCAACACTATCTAGTTGACTGTAAACATGGCTGTGCTTTGATAGTCATTAGCTGCTAATATGATTTCCTAATTCAGAATTAGCAAAATCTACTTTTCTGAAAGGATATCATTAATGTCTGAATATCCCAATATAAAACCAACTTTACCTCAATAAATCAATACTGGTGTTACGGTTTAACTGGTGTCCCTTTCCAGATGTAAGCTATTCACGTTTGCAGCTTGGCAGATTCGTCCCTTTTTCACAGCAACAAAACATGTCCATACCAAATAAAGATTCTTATTACTTGGCGTCAGTGTCATTGTGAGCATTATTGATTTTAATATCTGTGTAGCAGAACAGTAAAAAACAAAATTAATCTTAAAAAAAAAACAAATATAATTTACGTCATCAACGGGTTTCGAACTCGTGAAGTCAAAAGCTTCATCAAACGCTTTAATCACCTTATCTAACTGAGCTACTCGGGATTAGACATGAAATTGTCTGTTTTAATTTCTTTATCAGTCACATTATGCTAAAATAGTTCTAATATCTAATGTTGTTTTGAAAGTCATGTTATTTCAGACTGAATATTCAAAGTACCACGGTAAATGTGCGAATATAAAGCCAACTTTACCTCAATCATCAATTACTGAAACCCCCCAGAAATTATCATAAAAAATGTATTTTGCATCTGTAAATAAAAAAAACTTCATATATTTTATCAAGTACAGTTGAAGTCGGAATTATTAGCCCACCTGTTTATTTTTTCCCCAAATTGTCTGTTTAACGGAGAGCAGACACATCAACACATTTCTAATCATAATACTTTTAATAACTCATCTCTAATAACTGATTTATTCAGTCATTGCCATGATGACAGTACATAATATTAGACTAGATATTCTTCAAGACACTTCAAGACAGCTTAAAGTGACATTTAAAGGCTTAAAACTAGGCAGGTTAGTGTAATTAGGTAAGTTATTGTATAACGATGGTTTGTTCTGTAGACTATCGAAAACAAATATAGCTTAAAGGGGCTAATAATATTTACCTTAAAATGGTGTTTAAAAAATTAAAAACTGCTTTTATTCTAGGCGAAATAAAACAAATAAGACTTTCTCCACGAGAAAAAATATTATCAGACACACTGTGAACATTTCCTGAATCTGTTCAACATCATTTGGGAAATATTTAAAAAGAAAAGAAAATTCAAAGGAGGGCTTATAATTCTGTCTTCAACTGTAGGTAGCAGTGGAATGATTAATAACCTACTTTGATTTGTTTGTTGACACCTCTCTCTATTTTCCCAGTGGCTCTTGTCTCCTCGACGAGCGTGCAGTTTGAGGATGGCGTATTAATGAAGGATTACATGACGATGATGATGCATATGGTCGTGCTGTGTTTCACGCTGGCGATTTCATTAATGTTCTGGGTCCTGTCCCTGACTGCCAGCACATACTACGGTGAGAGCTCGTCTTCTCTTGCTATGGGCAGTGTGTCCGCGGGCTCTTACATTTACATTTAGTCATTTAGCCGACGCTTTTATCCAAAGCGACTTACAAATGAGGACAAGGAAGCAATTTACACAACTATAAGAGCAACAATGAATAAGTTTCAGGTCTGTAAAGTCTAAGAAGGAAAGTATTAGTAATTTAGTAATTTTTTTTTTTAATTTTTTAGTAAAATTTTAGGTTTTTTGTATATCCAGAGAGGCAATTGCAGATTAGGAAGTAAAGTGGAGACTAAATAGTTGAGTTTTTAGTCGTTTCTTGAAGACAGCGAGTGACTGCTGTTCTGATGCAGTTAGGGAGTTCATTCCACCAACTGGGCAGATTAAACGAGAGCGTTCAGGAAAGTGATCTCTTCCCTCTTTAGGATGGAACCACGAGGCGACGTTCATTCACAGAACGCAAGTTTCTGGAGGGCACATAGATCTGCAGAAGTGAGAGCAGATAAGAAGGAGCAAGGCCAGAAGTCGCTTTGTAGGCAAACATCAGAGCTTTGAATTTGATGCGAGCAGCAACTGGCAGCCAGTGCAAACAGATGAGCAGCGGAGTGACATGTGCTCTTTTAGCTTCATTGAAGACCACTCGTGCTGCTGCGTTCTGGAGCAGCTGAAAAGGCTTGATAGAGTTAGCTGGAAGCCCGGCTAGAAAGTATTTAAAGTTGATAACTCAACATAGAGGTATTTAAGGCCCAGGCCCGGATTGGCTAATCGGGAGGACCGGGAGAATTCCCGGTGGGCCGGTCCGTTTTTTGGCCGCGAGGGCCGGTGTCCGTAGCTCCAGAATCAGCAGTCACACTTTTTAAATTTATTTATTTACTTGACCACAGCCTTTTTATTCATTATTTTACCGCAACTCTTCTATTTTAATGATTATAAATCTCAGTTGTGACTCCAATCTGAACACAGCTATTGTGGTCCAGTGGTTAGCATGTTAGGTTAAGACGCTGCGGACCCGGGTTCGATCCTCATTAGAGTAACTTATTGTTTTCGTTTTTATTGTTAAGACATATAATACTGTTAGGGTTGTTGAACATTTGAAGTTCTAAAAGAGCTGTTTTCTCAAAAGAAGACGTGATAGTGTCATTAGAAACTGATTTGGAAATGACCTTTTTTTAATATAGTCAGTGGTGAACTGAGGTGGGCCGGTCTGAGGCTTGAAACTCCAGGGCTGAAAAGGAGTCCCACTCCGGCCCTGTTAAGGCCCTTAAAAAGTCTTAAACGCTTCTTTGCAAGGTTTTCAATTTGATATCATTTTCAGATATGCAGCGTATGCTAAAGTTTTCCTGAATTAAATCTGCGAATATCAGTAATATCCTGCTAGATTTGACATCATGCTGCTTTGTTTACTGCAGTAACCAAAAACACCATTATTTCTGCAGCTCAACCTACTGAGTTAGCTAGATTTAATCGGTTTTTATTCAGTATATGATTAATGTTTGAGTTGTGGACTAGTTTCTTACATAGTTAGTAAATATACTGTAAGTTAAAATCTCGCCAGTGATTTCAGTTGAAACCTAAAGTGGTGTTAAGGTCTTAAAATGTATGGAAAGAGTCTTAAAAAAGGTCTTAAAAGGTATTAAATTTCACTCTCTGATTCCGATATATAATCTGTAGTGTGTGCCGTGCAGGTAAACCTCACTCCTCTGACCTCTAAAGGTGCTCTAGCGACAGACGCTAGAGGCCACGGTCTTTAGCCGCCTTGTTAGAGCAACCGACTCCCATGCGGAAGGTTGCCGGTTCGATCCCAGCTCGGAGCGGGTTGGGCGGTGTAGGACCGGTGGGGTTACATTGGTGCCGTGACCCGGATGGGAGTGAGGTTTAGAGGGGTGAGTGTAACGGAGGCTAGCTAATGTGTGCTGTGCAGGTAAACCTCACTCCTCTGATCTCTAAAGGTGCTCTAGCGACAGACGCTAGAGGTCATGGTCTTTAGCCGCCTTGTTAGAGCAACCGACTCCCATGCGGAGGGTCGCCGGGTCGATCCCAGCTCGGAGCGGATTGGGTGGTGTAGGACCGGCGGGGTTACATCTGTATGGTAGAAGTTACACATTAAGGGGGTTTCCACTCCTTCCTGAACAGCAGATTCAAGCACTTTTTAATAAAGAATAATTATTTTTAATAATGGTAATTAATTATTATTTTTAAATTATTATTATTATTTATTTTTAATTATTTGTAAATCAAGCACCTTCACACTCCGTCATATGCAGCGCCGTGATAGCCCTTACTGTACCTAACTACATCTAGCCTACACTTAATATGTACATATTAAATATGTTTCGAATGTGTAACTGTTCAAAAAAATTGATGTCATGGTGGCTCAGTGGTCAGCACATTCCCCTCACAGCAAGAAGGTCGCTGGTTCGAGTTCTTGCTGGAGCAGTTGGCATTTCTGTGTGGAGTTTGCCTCTTTTTGGCATGGGTTTGCTCCGGTGTCAACCACAGTCCACAAAACACACGCGTTTATAGGGGTATGAGTGTGTCTGAATGTGTTTCCCAGTACTGGGTTGCAGCTGGATGGGCATCCGCTGTGCATAACATATGCTGAATGAATTGGTGTATTATTCTGCCGTGGTGATCCCTGATAAAGAAAGGGACTAAGCCGAAGGAACTGACGTCATGTTCAAAGAACTAAAATGTGCTGATGTTTTCTGAAATATTGGTAAAATGTGCGTTTATTTGTCATAGTTATTAAATTTAAGATTTTTTGCAAGCCACCTTGAGTTAAATAGTTCAGTTTTACAATTGTTGTGTCCATTCTGGCTCTGACAATAGCACATTTAGCTTAGGTTAGCATAAATCATTGATTAGACCATTAACATCTCACTCAAACATTTAAAAAAAAAAAAAAAGCTGATGCTAACGGTCTAATCCGATTCAATGATTTATGCTAAGCTAAGCTAAAAGTGCCTTTTTAAAGAGTGTTCCTCTAAAGCAGCGGTTCTTAACTGGTTTGGCCATGGAACCCACATTTTGACATGGTCATCAACACCGCGGCCTAAATTTTAAGGAACTATAATGTAATTTGTATTTATTTGTTAACATATACAAGAAGTGACCGACAAATCATAAGAAAAACACCAGGACTTACAAATAAACAATATTTTACTGCTGTCATTTAACGAAATATATGAAATTATAGAAATATTACAAAGTAAAAACGACAAATGTTTGGTTTCTAAAACAATATTATCTCTAAAACAATATTATCTCTACATGTCACGCACTGAGGTTTTAAACCTTTTTTGCCGTCAATATATGTAAATCCAGCCTGATCTCACGAGAAAACGTAAGTATTTTACGTTTTGCCAGTTTAGTGGCTAATTCGTACGAATTCGTACGAGTTTAGTCGTACGAAATGGTACGATTTTAAAAAGGAGGCGTGGCACCTGACCCCACCCCTAACCCCAATCGTCATTGGGGGATAAGCAAATCGTACTAAATTGTACGAATTAGATCGTACGAATTCATACGAATTAGCCACTAAATGAAAAAGTTACGAATTGCCGTGAGATTGTGTTGGTAAATCCATACTTTACATATTCTTGCGCTTCGACATATTTGTTGCTATAATCAAACGAAATTTCACATGTCGAATGGTACAGTTGTCGCTCACGCATTTCAAAATAAAAGTCTTACATAAGCAAAATAAGTTAAAAATGAAACATTTGTTGTTGTTTTTACCACACACTCTGCGACCCACTGAATATGTTCCCGAGACCCACTTTTGAGTCGCGACCCGCCAATTGAGAAACACTACTCTAAAGGAAATTGACTATATATGTTGTTTTGCAGGCACTATGCAGTTTTTCGACAGCAGCACAGTACAGTTGTTGAAATCACACCGTACACAAATTTTAAATTAATTTAATTAAAGCCTTTCTGTGGACATATGGTTGTTTTTAAGTGCTATTAAATGAAATATTAATGATTAAATGAAGGTATTACGTTAAATTAAATTGGCTATTGGCAAAAGTATAGACGTACAATGTACTGGATATGTGCTCCAGGGTCAAAGTTAAGGATCTAAACATTATAAATAAGCTTGATCATAGAAAGTCTATATTTATCATCATTTTAAAATCATAATATAAATACAATTTTTTCAGTATTTTTACCTTTCAGAATCCGCCAATGTGTTCCATTACACACAAAAAACTGTCTATTTAATATTCATCTTATTTGCACATAATGATGGGCGCATGTTAAATCTATAAAGCGGAAAAGAGAATTGTGTCCACTTTGTCATTGTGATGATTGGATTTGAGAACACATCGAGATTGTCCGTCGAGTAAACTGCAGGAACCACATGTTTCTGGAAACATCAGGAAGCTTAATGTCATTTTCCCCCTTGAAAAGTACAAATATTTAACAAAATATGCTGTTTAAGATGGAGGAGTTTTCAAAGAAATACTCTTCTTTTTCCTGAAAAAGACTTATTTTACAGGTCACATGAGTTAAACAGATGAGTTTTACCATTTTTGTATCCATTCAGGGTCCAGCGGGAGCACATTTAGCTTAGCTTAGCATAAATCATTGAATCGGATTAGACCATTAGCATCTCAATCAAACATTTTTAAAAACTGATGCTAATGGTCTAATCTGATTCATTGATTTATGCTAAGCTAAGCAAAACTGTCGCTTAAACTACAGGAACCACGTTTCTGGTAAAAATATTTAACAAAATTTCAAAATAGGCCGTTTAAGGTCACCTAGAGATTTTTACTAGAGGTTTTACTAGAGTTTTACCATTTATGAATAAATTTAGGGTCTGGTGTGAGCACATTTAGCTTAGCATAAATCATTGAATCGGATTAGACCATTAGCATCTCAATCAAACATTTTCGAAAAAGCTGATGCTAACGGTCTAATCCGATTCAATGATTTATGCTAAGCTAAGCTAAAACTGTCGCTTAAACTACAGGAACCACATATTTCTGGTAAAATATTTAACAAAGTTTCAAAATAGGCCGTTTAAGGTCACCTTGAGATTTTTACCAGAGGTTTTACTAGAGTTTTACCATTTAGGAATCCATTTAGGGTCTGATGTGAGCACATTTAGCTTAGCTTAGCATAAATCATTGAATCGGATTAGACCATTAGCATCTCAATCAAACATTTTCGAAAAAGCTGATGCTAACGGTCTAATCCGATTCAATGATTTATGCTAAGCTAAGCTAAAACTGTCGAGTAAACTACAGGAACCACATGTTTCTGGTAAAAATGTTACAAAATTTCAAAATAGGCCGTTTAAGGTCACCTAGAGATTTTCACCAGAGGTTTTACTAGAGTTTTACCATTTAGGAATCCATTCAGGGTCTGGTGTGAGCACATTTAGCTTAGCTTAGCATAAATCATTGAATCGGATTAGACCATTAGCATCTCAATCAAACTTTTTCAAAAAAGCTGATGCTAACGGTCTAATCCGATTCAATGATTTATGCTAAGCTAAGCTAAAACTGTTGAGTCTGTCGAGTAAACTACAGGAACCACATGTTTCTGGTAAAATATTTAACAAAGTTTCAAAATAAGGCTGTTTAAGGTCACCTAGAGATTTTTACCAGAGGTTTTACTAGAGTGTTACCATTTAGGAATCCATTCAGGGTCCGGTGTGAGCACATTTAGCTTAGCTTAGCATAAATCATTGAATCGGATTAGACCATTAGCATCTCAATCAAACATTTTCGAAAAAGCTGATGCTAACGGTCTAATCCGATTCAATGATTTATGCTAAGCTAAGCTAAAACTGTCGAGTAAACTACAGGAACCACATGTTTCTGGTAAAAATGTTACAAAATTTCAAAATAGGCCATTTAAGGTCACCTAGAGATTTTTACCCGAGGTTTTACTAGAGTTTTACCATTTATGAATCCATTCAGGGTCTGGTGTGAGCACATTTAGCTTAGCATAAATCATTGATTTGGATTAGACCATTAGCATCTCAATCAAACATTTTCAAAAAAGCTGATGCTAATGGTCTAATCTTATTCAATGATTTATGCTAAGCTAAAACTGTCGAGTAAACTACAGCAACCACATGTTTCTGGTAAAATATTTAACAAAGTTTCAAAATAAGGCTGTTTAAGGTCACCTAGAGATTTTTACCAGAGGTTTTACTAAAGTGTTACCATTTAGGAATCCATTCAGGGTCCGGTGTGAGCACATTTAGCTTAGCTTAGCATAAATCATTGAATCGGATTAGAAAATTAGCATCTCAATCAAACATTTTCAAAAAAGCTGATGCTAACGGTCTAATCCGATTCAATGATTTATGCTAAGCTAAGCTAAAAATGCTCCATTCAAAGTAATTCACTAAGAGTAATATGTTGTTTTGCAGGCACTCTGCAGCCAGTTTCCCCATGGCGGTGGCTGTTCTCAGTGCTGATCCCACTCTTCATCACGTTTCGAGCCTTTAAACGCAAGAGTCTTGATCATGGCGGTGCCATAGGAGGTGAGGAATAGGTTTTCAACATATGAGTTCCAATGGCCCTATGGGGTTGTTTTAATTCGTACAGTCCTTTAGGTGTCCACCAACAACCACAGGTTTCTTCATACAAACACACATTTTGGGGAATTTTCTGTAATTTTTGCAAAACCACAGGCTTCCAAATTTTTTTTGCTGTCGGCTTTGTGTAAGATTCAACCTTTAAAGCCTTAATTTCTTCTGCTTTTTATTTGAAAATACAATTTTACAGCTCCCCTACTGTTTAACAGTTGAGTTTAACCATTTCTTAATTCGTTTATCTGATCTCCAGTTCTGGCGG